AAAAAAAAAAACACCAGAAAAAAGCACCAATAAAGCATTAAAAATCTGCATAACCAGCCTTGGAAAAGTTGTGTGATTTCAAACGAGAGTTTTAAAACACTACAAGTTTCTGAACTTGTCAACCTTTTCGTGTAGAGTAAACAAAACTAGGTAACCACTAAAGCATTTACCTCCTTTCGTGCACAGATACTACTTGAAGTTTCGGAAGACAATGCCAGATCAGGAATCTGTTGCTGCTGCTGAGGCAATGGTTGTTTTGAAAACTCAAATTTGCTGCCATCTTTAACTGTCTGTTGATGAGCAACATTTCCTGTAACAATAACTTTTAGCTGCTTCATTTGTGTAACCAGAGCTTCAATTTTTAATTCCTGAACACTTTCTTCACTACCCAATTCTTGTCGCTTCCAATACTTACTGGATTTTGTGTAAATTTTACTGATCTTTGCTTCTGTTTATTGCCAGATATCTGTCAAAACAAAAACAGCCACTACGGTCATTTGTCAGTTTTAATAGATAAATTAAAAAAAGAAAGAAAAGAAAGCAAAAACAAAAGTAAGATTGAAAAAAGATTTGACAAAAAAAGGCCACGAAGACAAAAAATAAGCCACAAATAACCATTAAAAGTCTGATCAAACAGAACGTCTAGGTGTGATGATAGTAATAACAACAAATAGCAGTATTTACTGCTGCTTTTATCGGAGTAAAACAATTTTTTTTTCCACGGAATTGTTTCTTAGAGAACTGTAGCTGAAATCAACCAAATTTCAACTTAACTAAATCTGACTGAACTGAACCAAAAATCTTTCTTCCATTCTACTAATTTTTATTTCTTCAAAAATCCAAAAATCCTATAAACCTTTTCAATTTTTTTCCCTTTCTAAAACTGAAAAAAACCCTATAGACAGTATTATCTTTTCACATTTTTTTACAATTTTTTGGAAACGAAAAAAAGCCTTGTTGAATGAAGGCAAAAAAAAATTACTTTTTTACAGTTCATTTCTGTAGAACAAATATTTATGTATTTACCACTCAAACAGTCATTATTGTTTACCTTTATATTAACGAACTCAAAGCCAAGTATTAATCATTTTTCAGCCAAACAATTTCATTACATTT